CTCTGGAGACAGATAAGGCAGGTTTATTATTTATTATTTAGCTTTATGAGGATATTACATGCCGATTTTCACAGTGGTTGTACTAGTTTATATTCTTGTCAGCAATATAAGGGCCCTCCCAGCATTCATTGTTTTTGATGTTCTGGACGATAGCCATTTTGATGGAAATAGGATGGAATCTCAAAGATATTTTGACTTGCATCCCCCTAATAGTCATAGACATTTTAAAACCACAGTGTTCTCTGCACAATATATAAGACATCAACGAACATACTCTAAAGAACTTTGTGAAAACATATGAAAGCAGAAGGCCTCTGCACTGTTAGTGGATAAAGGAGATCTGTCTGCTATTAACACACACTAAAACATTCTTCAGCAGGAAGTGGCCAACTAAATAAAGTTCTTTTTTATTTGAAAAAGAGGCAGAGAGATTTTTTTAAAAATAAGTATGTCTATAGTAAGGGAGAGATTCTTAAGAATTCTGTATAAATATTCACAATTGTTTAAGAATTCTTAAGAAATCCCTGCATAAACTTGAGAATTTTATGACAAAGGCTGTTAGACTTTTTAGACTCCAAAAATCCAAATTCATGTACAACCTGGGCTAGTTCACAGTAGATTTCATTTTAAATATATTAAATAGTGCTTATAACTTGGAAGAGTTCTTTTCCATCTGCTCTCCCGCTCTCTTGTTCTTGCAGTAATCCAACAAGGTTTGCAAAAGTAAACCTACCAGTAACACACTGGATTTATTTAGTTCTTTATGGGTTTCAAACTTGCTTTCTCATCTATTTTCTCTTTAAATCTATCAAAAGGTTGGCAAGATAATAGCATTAACCTTGGTGAAGTTTCAGGAACTATGATCAAGCACGAGGCCTATGATGGGTTGAGCATGTGAGAACTTCAGCCCTTGTCCAAGGATCACAGCAGCGGTAGTCGCAACAACACACAGCTACCAGTTTGAATCTGTGTCAGACACCCCAAGTGCTTTATGGGCAAGATTGTTCTGAATGCATTTCTCGGTGCCTTATTTTCATGAAGTGCATGTGCTTATTTTCATGAAGTGATGTCCCAAAGGTTGTCTATGGATCAATCCCATATGTCCAGTTCTGTCTATAAAACAAAAATTTTATAGCTTCCCTTAATCTTGCTCTCCCACATTTCCAATCCAATATAAATTTTATCAGCAAAGTCCAGCTGATTTTACAAAACAAAAATAAGTTTGTATCTTTTAGTTTTATCAAATAATGATACAGTCCATTGAAGTCGGTGTTTTTCTTATCCCATTTTACAGAATTAGAAAACTGAGATTCTAGGCTTGAGTGATTTGTGCAAGTGCATCAGGCCAGTGAGTAGTGGGGCTTAAATATTAGCATAAATCCATTCAAAGGTCAAACCTATCTTCTCTGTCTCTAGAGTCCAAGTGGTTGGTTATAACTACCATTTGTTAAAGATGTATCAGGTTCCAGACTCTGTGATATGCTCTGCCTTCATGATGTCATTTATCTTCCCAACACAAGCTGTTACACTGGTGCTTCAGGTGGCAAATTGATAATCTACTTTCCCACAAAAGGCAGACTCAGAGAGGTCATGGAACTTGCCCACTGCAGACTGTTCATGACTGAAGCAATTTGATCCCAAACTCTGAGGTCCTACTTAATGTGTTAAATTAGTCCCAAAATTGGAGTTCAGGAAATTTAAAGACACCAAGGAATGTGAAGTCAGGTGGGTACAGGGCCAGGGCTAATAAGAGCCAACTCCTTGCACTAGATTATACCATAAGCATGAGGTGATGTTGGCCTCCTCTGTGGACCAGTTATACCTCCCTCGCCCTCTGGCCTCACCCTAACCTTGCACACATCATTTCCACTTCACCTAGTGATTTAGCTACAGGGCTGTGTCTTCCCACAGTGCTGCATCTATACCTCCTCCATGGCTACCGCTGCCTGGACAGGGAATGGGTCCTCCACACCCTCACTCCCAGACAGACACCAGTCACAATCTGCTGGGAATCTGCTGTCTGCTGAAGTTCAGACAGACACATGACCATGACCCTATCATCCTGGCTGCTAATAACTAAGACAAACCTTCCCATGCACTCAGTACCATTATGACTTTCAACCTTTTGATAACACACATTTCAAACTAATAGAATGCACAGTCTCAGACAAATCCTACCCATCCCCCTCACTGATAAATCTTACTCTACTGGCAGTAATGTAGCCCTTCCAGATATTTTAAATTAAGATTGAGAAAGATGTGTTTTTACTCAATTGAATCACAGCATTTGGCTGATATTTTTTTGGCCCTTCATATTCTCCTTAAATTGATCTGCTAATTGCAGATACTTTCAGAGAATTACAGCATGTGTTTTTATTACAATAAACCCACTAGTGTATCGTTGTTGTCAAAGATTCACAAGTATCTTTTTTACCAACCCCAGGTTAAATGTTGAGTTGGTTCGAAAATACGAGTTTAACTGAAGAGTTTACTTGAGTGAAAACATTGCGTATGTATCTGGAGAACCAGGGACAGGATAGATCCAGTTGTTCAGTTTTTATTCTTGGACTATTTTGAAATCTCTAGTTGTGCATGATAAAATTATTTATTAGAAAATGTCAAATGACTGAGGAATGTTAAAACATCAAAACAGCTTTGTGTTGTTGTAACGCCACTGTTTACTAAGGTCCTTCCTCTGAGATCATTTGGTTTCTTTGGTGATGACTTGTTTGGAGTTCTATGCCTGAGGAACTGTCAAAAGGGATGGCTGTGTCCCTCAGTCATGGCAACAAGGCCGAGGTGGTCGCAAGGCAGGAAAAAAGCCACACGCTAAGGGATGAGTGGGGGCCAGTCTTCACTCGGATAAGGTAAATGTCCCCGTTGCTACAAGTTTAAAGGTCTAGAAAGACTGGATAGACCACAAGAAAGGAGAGAATGGAAATGCCAGCAGGAAAAAATAAGTGCCTTGGATATAACTTCAGTGTCTTTTGCTAAGTCAGAGTGACAATGAAGGGGAAATGAGGCCAGCACTAGGTGCCCAGAGCCATCTGTGTGAGGAACACCTACTCCAACAGAGACACATGAGGGATGTCAAGTCCAGAACGTTCACTTCCTGCGGCTATCACATAAACTCAGGCATGAGCAAGAAACTCAGGCTGCCCTTGGGTTTGAAGGTGAGGGCTGTAGTGGGGTAAGTGAGAGACCAGGAAAATGAGGCAAGAGCTAAAGGAATAACCTTCAACTTCCAACTGCAGAATCATAAAGAAGTTGAAAAGAAATAAGGAAAGCAAAGTACAAAAGTTGTACAGAGTGACAAAAAAAAAAGTAGCTGTAAAAATTTCCCTTGTGTCTAGCACTTCATTGGAATTTATTGCATTTTTATTTGATTGCATAATATATATTCCAAAGAAAGAAATGCTACTAACTTATACCTTCCAGGCACGGGGAGTTACCTAAAGGAGATGTGTTTGTGAGGGAACTCATGCTAAGAGCTTTCCATGTTCTGTCATCTGCACATCAGATAGATTTTTCTTACGCATGTTTCTTCATTTCCTTTCACAATGCTTCTGTATGAGGATGCCCAGAATGCTCTCTGGAATGGGTAAATATTATCTCTTCTGAGTAACTGGAGTGCTTTTATTCCACAGATTGAGACATTCATAAATGTTGTCTGTCCTTTTCACTTGCTACTAGAAAGTTTGGAGCTAAGTCTGCTCCTAGTTAAAAAAAAAAAAAAAAAAGCTCATATTTTTTTTTTTATTTTATGGTGTACATGTTGCTTCAACAGAACTAGAAGTATATCTAAATAAATATACGAATGTGTATTCCCAGTGCTAAATGATGATTTCTTGTCTTACAGACTCTGAATTGTGTAATTACATCATTGGTTGCTTTAAAAAATACCCTTTCCTGAATAAAGAAATGGTTTCCATTAGCCCCTTAAACCATCTCAAATTTCAAATTAAAGTCCAAGAAAAGATACCCCATTTGGTTAGTAAGTTAACTCAGTGTTCCATATTTGTTCAAAATATGTGCTTCAAATTTTATCATAAGTATTCAAAAAGAGGAATGATTTACAAATGGAAAGAAGCTGGAATTCTATCAGTCAAGTACTGTGCTCCGATAGGTCTTCATTGGTAACTGCCTGTGAGGTCGTGGGGTTTCCCCAGATTCCCACTCAGTCCTAGAAGACAAATTTGTAAATGAGAACACAGTTCAATTCATGTAAGGCTCAGAGGGCCCTCCTCAAGAGTGAGGGGCAACAATCAGGCTCGAAAGCCCACTTTCCAGGCGTTTCTAACAACAACAGAACTCTGAGTGATCTGACTATGCAGCACCTGTGGCGAGTTGGCCGTCTCCACCCTGAGTCCCCTGCACTATCTGTGATGACTTCTATTTCCGCTTTGAGAGTGCTTTTGGTGCCAGCTAAAGCAGTCTGTGTATTTCTACTCTCTCATCTTTGCCCTTCCTAGTCTCTGGACCCCAACCTGCCCCTAACCCATTCCTCTCCATTTGACACTGGCCTCAGCGCCTACCTTCGAATCTGCCCTACTCTCCTGTATCTCTCGCCTATAAACTTCATAGCTTCTACTGTCACCCTCTTATCCTTGCCCCTGTCATTTATCATGTCACACATGAGGCACATTTTTCCAACTCTACATTAAACCTCTAAATCTAACACTGGTCAATCATTGGCTCACTAAACATCCACTGGGGGATAAATGGGAGAAGAATTCTTATTCTCCTTATGCACAACAGTGTCTGGCATAATCTGGCTCCTTAAATGTTTGCCATTGATGATAACAGTCAGATTTTCCTCTCTCTACAAGCCCACTGCACTTAATGTCCTTGAACTTTTTATCACAGTAGCTAAAAGCATTGTTTAATTATTTTAACAAAATAATCTGGCTGTATTAGTTATATAATAATGTAACATTATTGACTATATTACTATATTATTAACTATATTATATTGACTATATCATTTTTTCTCTTCTTAGATTTTAAAGAAATCCTGCATTGAAATTCTAGCAGCTGAGCCATCCACCATATGCGCAGGAGGTAAATTGAAATGAAGTGCAATTTGCTTTCATTCAACTGATGATATTTTGGGTTCAAATCACATGTTTCCTTCATTGCAGGGAGAATTGGAGAGGCAAGGCAGAGAGAGAGAGGATGGGTAGAAATTTCTAACTCAGTTTGCTTCTAGAGAAAAAGAAGAAGTGATGTCAGTTATTTGAAAGTTTGAAAAAGTTTGTCCAAATTTCTCCTTTTGTGGGACCTAATTACAAAAAAATTGTATAAACGCTGTCTTCTCGAACTACTACTGGCGAGTAATAACCACCACCAACCTGCCTCTGGGTAGAGGTGGAGTCATCATACATTTTCACAAAAAAAAATCTACAGAAGCCAGATGATCCCAGTGGTCTATGGCCCGTGATCAGACTACACCATAGACCTGCAATGTACTTGATGCTGGACTTTCTCCATAATTAAGAATATTTTTCCTAATTGTTCATTATAACAACCTCATAAAGTCATGGCTTGCAACTTCAATTGTTCTGCTAAACACCCATTATAATTTTGTCATTAATACAAAAAGTATAATTCTTCACAGAAGAAGACTTCTGTGGAGCATAATATTTTATCTGTGATAAAAATAGGGGCCTCGTTCTTGTTTCATAATGTAACAAGCTGCCTGAAACTCCAACCATGCTGCTCTCTTCCGATAATTCTACAAATTTCCCATTACTTTTCTTTCCTTCCTATAAAATGTATTTTTAACCAGCTACTACACACCAGGCACTGTGCTGGGTGCCAGAGCTAGAAGAAAGATAAGCCCTTTGGGTGAGAACTTCTGCCCCCTGGAACTAGAGTCTTCCACTGATGAGTTTCCCTATTGATGTCACCTTTCTAGCCCCCAAAATACCAAGAGCCAGTCATTTATTACCAATAAAAAATATATCATGCAACCCAAATAAGACAGTAAACGTTGAAAGAATTCTCAGGTCTTTTAAACATTATACTTTTCAATGCCTATGGCATATTTTATTATCATAAATGAGATAATTGCCTGAAGATTTTCTTCCTGTTTCTTGGCTGTGTTCTAGGACAGCTGAAAGACTTGCAAGGACTTAGACACTAAATATTCTGTGCCAACATCAAAACATTAAGTATATATATATATATAAAGGTGCTAGCAATACCTGGTGCTTGATTACATAGACACATACACGCATACATAAACACATACATATATTACAAACAGGCATGCATGCAAACTTATATATAAAATTATCAAAACATTTGATGATTATTCAGAAATATGTGTTCATTTCCTCACCAAGATCAGTTAAAATATATGACCTACCAATGTTGAAATAGTTTTCTGGCAATACAGACATTACAGGAACAACTGTATTTGCCACAGGGATTGATCAAGGGAGTCTCTTTAAGAAAAAAATAATTCAAACCTTTATAAATTTGGCAGAAATGCATAAGCATGTGAGCACAGCACCAGGGCCTGATAAGGGACCTGTGCATTGAGGAGTCTCTTTAGTCTACATTCATTTCAGAGTAAATGATCTCAGGGCTTTGTGTGCTTCTTGTAGAATAAAGGGGCAGGTTATTTAGATTAATTTAACCTGGGTGTGTGTGTGTGTGTGTGTGTGTGTGTGTGTGTGTGTGTGTACATGTGGAAACTTTATAGTTCCCTAATATTAAAGCCATCAGAAAACAAGAAGTCCACTCTTTGGGTGATTGTCCTATCCATGAAGAAAAACCAGACATTCTGTTTAATGATCCTGCCAGATGTGTTGTAATCATGAATGCGTCAGAAAGTCTGAGGACAATGAACACAATTTCTAATTCATTGACATAATCAGTTCTTTTCCTTTATGCTTCTTGAAGCAATAATAGCAATAAACATGTTGTTATTTCTCTCTATTCTGCTTAGCAGAGTGTCTCGTACTTAACAGGTTGTCAATAAAAGTTGACTTAATGTCCTGATTCCTATATTCCTTCGAAACAGTGACCTTGACTTTTTCTTTTGACTCTTGTTAATTCCGTCCACTTAACCATGCTAAGCTAATATACCTTTGTGCTGCCTAATTAAAATAAAGCACAATTAGAAGTCAGAAGCCAAAGATGATAAAACAAGACCAAAATAAAAATTGCAACCACTTAGGGAGTAGAAAGATACCTTCTTCAATAATCCTAGACTCAAGTAAACCAAAATCTGCCCCATATACCATCAAGTTGTTCAAGACAGTAAAAACATCTAATATGTAAAATTAATAAATATGACACAGAAATATTAAAACTTACATGATCTGATCCTTGAAAATTCACAGATTCTTCATACATTTCTTATTAAATGGAAACTAAGAATCAATGAAATAAAAAATAATGAAAGGACTTTCCAAAATCTAAGGAATATACGAGGAAAAGAAGATAACATACCTCCAATAATTCACGCAAATTAAAGCAATTCAAAACTGGGCGTGGTGGTGTGTGCCTGTAATCCCAGCTCTTGGGAGGTTGTAAACAGGCAGATCACTATGAGTCGGACCTAGTAGTGAAATCCTGAACACCTGTAAGCCCTTCCCTAAAATACAAAACATAAAAAAATGAGCAGTTCAAATGATAAAATATTTCCAAGAGGTATTTCTTTAGTAGAACCAATAAAATAGACAACTTTCTAATCAATCCAGCCTAAGAAAGCTTTCTTTTGATATTTTAAAAATTTCTTCCGTATATGTCATATCACATATTTATAGGCAAATAACCATTTTCTGTCTCAAAGCAAAGTGTCCAATTATATTTCCTTTATTTTTTGCAAAAAAAAAAAAAAATACAGGACACAAAGATGGAAAGTAGTCATAGGTTTTGAAAAAGGCAAGCTCCTCTTTAAATCCTAATCATTAGGATTATAATATATTAATTACAGAATAACTTTACTAAGAAGAAAATGAAATTTGCAAAGATGTCCTCCCTTCAGAAGCTCCTCCACAGATGTCCCTCCTGGTCTGTCTGTGATGCTTCTCTGGAGTTAGCGAGGCCTTCGGGAAGTGTTAGCATCATTTCCTTCTCCCACGGTCCTGAGTGCCTGTGGGATAGAGTGAGCCATGATCCCTGTGATTTGCATTAGGCTACTTGTGGATCTAGGGCTTACCGGAAATTTATATATAAAAGTGCTTCCAAAATCATAGAGTGTTGTACAAATAAGGTGGCACTAGTGTCATCAGCATTGCTTCAATGAAGATTAAAGGTCAGTGTTGAATCATGAGGCCAATAATGTTGCATCTGGATGAGAAATGCATGCATGTGTGTCTTTCCCCTGAAAAACATTCAGGGAAGACATTGATATAATTTGGAAACTCAGTATGTGTTGAGAGAGAAAGTTAATAAGGAAACATCTATTTCCATTTCTGAAGTATAATGGTTATACCAAGCTTTAGATAGATCTGAGAAGAAAGCAGAGTTCTTTTGCATAAAAAAACCTGGTCTCAGGCTAGAAACATAGCTCAGCAGAACAAGTGCCTGCTTGGGAAGTGCAAGGTCCCGGGTTCAATTCCCACTACCAAAAGAAAGGAAAAAAAAAATTTGTCTCTGAGGCCATCCTCTCACTCTTGAGTTATTTCCCTTCTGTGGCCCCAGAGAGCCCAGCTTAGGGCCCAACCCATGCCTGTCCTGCTGCAGGCATTCTATGCTGATTGCATCTCCCCAACCCAGCGACCTCAGCGGGCTCTCACTCCAACTCTACACCAGCAGTGGGTCTAATAGAAAACTGAGCTCTGATAGTGCCAATGAGATCATGCACTGGGTGAAAGAAAACTGTAATCCAACCCAAGTCTTTCTATATGTAAGGTTCTAAATAAGGTGAAATTGAATAGGACAAATACAAAGTGCTGGACTTGATCCCAAATAGTTTGGATTAAGGTATTAAATGGCTGGTTACTTTTCAATGGCTGAAGAAACAAGTACCCTGGAACTATTATTCATTTTAAGAGTAAATCCTACTGCAGAAAAACAGTGGAGAGAATATCTAATCAGATCTGGTCAGAAAGAACTGCAGCCAGTGTCACTGATCCAACTACCTGGGGAAAGGAGCCTTCCCATAATGCCTCCACCTTCTGTGCTTATAAAGTGGCAAACTGGTTTCTATCTAGCCTATGTAGACCTTTTTGATCTGCACGGACTTGTAAAAATTTAAGCATCTCTAACTATTGTTGATGATCTTTACTAATCTCAGGAAATAAACAGGATCGAACCTGGCTGGCCCCTGAGACCACTGGTCCTTCCCCTTTGCTGCCTTCTTATGCCAAGATGTGTTATTTGTTCAGTGATTCCATTAGCTTCTACTGAGCTCATCTCAGCCTTGGGATGGACGCAGCCAAGCATTCAGAAAAAGATGGAAACAGTAGCTTATGCTGTCACAAAACATAAGCTGCACCTGAGAATAAAGTAACAAAAGAATCATAATAAATGTATATTTTAAAGACATCTTTAAAGGGTACATATCTTCAAGGGTTAATTAAAAACAATTTGCAGGTACAAAATTCCTCCCTTTACAATACATTTCATTTTATTGATGTATTTTTATAGCACATAATAATTACATTCAGGGGGATGGGGGAGTTGGTGCATGCTCAGGACACATCTCAATTCCTTTTTCATACACTTTCCCTCCCCTACACCTCCTGGGCTCCTTACCTTTTGCAAAAGATCTCACTGTTTCCTATTTAGCTTTTATTTTCTTCAAAAATACTTATGTTTGGGATTTGTCATACAAGAGAAACTATGCAATCTTTAAGCTTGTGTTTCTGATTGATTTCACTTCAAATTATGGCCTTAAGATGCCTTCACTTTCCTAGAAGTTTATACTGCTTTATGACAGAGCAGTATTCCGTTGTGTGTCAACACCACAAGGTCTTTATCCATGCATATGGGATGGGTGTGGCTATTGCTTCCAAGATGGTTCTGCTACAAACAATGCTTCTGTATCCGTGGCTACACATACATCACTGTAGAGTGATGTTTGTAACTCTTCCAAAAAGATACCTAGAAGCTTTTCTTAAAGCCCAACAATCCCTGGACACGTTGTGTAGGAGCTATCACTCAATTTTAATTTGCCAAAAAGCATCGAACTATACATATTTTGAAAGGTGGAGACCCAAGGCTTTCTTGACAAATGGAGTTAAAGCAGTGCATTCTTGTTCCCGTGTGTCCTGGCCCATGCTAGAAGATCCACTCAGCAGCATTTTGTTATATAACTTTTTAGTGCAAAGAGCTGACATTACAGTCAGGCTGCTGGGTCAGATGTTTGCACTCTTCTGGAAACCAGCTGTGTGCACCGACACAGCAACTGCACCAGGCAGGGCGGAGCTTGTCTCTGTTCCTCTTGCAGCCCAAAACATCCTCTCCTCCACATTTTCTCCTGGCCTAGGGGGACTGAATTGCTCTGTTTCTACCATGGTCATATCATGGATTCTTGCTGTCTTCCTTTCTAAACTCCTTCAGAGTGGGCCAAACAGACACATATGCAGCTGCTTTTACAGAGGACTCAGTGTCTGAACCAGTAACGCGAAAACATGGCATTAGGGACAAGTGCTTGGTGTGCAGCTTGCTTTTTCAGAGTCTTCTCTCACTGTGGTGATGCTTGCATAAATGAGATGTAGGCAAAGGCAGAAAACACTTGAAAGCAACAGCAATGTCACACAGCAGATGTCTATATATATGGCTTTCAAACAGGAAACAAATTGGTTTTTACAAGCTTGACTGGACAAATAACTTTCTTCCAAAATGCTTGACACTTAGTAAAATACATGCTGAACCTCCTGAGTTATCAGCCACATGCTGGCAGGCTTATGCACAAAAATACCAAAGCCATGTTTCCAAACAGTACCAACATTCAGGCATAAATCCTTAATATTCATAAGATTTATGGTCATGAAAAATAGTATGTCCATGGCTTTAATTATTGTAGTGCAAAGCTAAGGTACCAAACCCTTGAGTACAAATCTCAGTTTTGCTGCTTACTAATTATATTACTCAGGGTAAATCATCAAAACGCTGTCCCTTAAATTCCACTATTGTTAAGATCTCTTACACTTCTGAAAGCATCCTCTTATTTATATTCCTTGTGGTTTGTGCAGTGCCTCTGGGTCCTTTTGCTTATATCCCAGCCAGCTTCACTTTTCTGTAAAATCAATGAGCCTACCTGTAACTACAATGAACTTTTAAAAAGGTCACAACTCCAACTTTGAAGCTGTTCTGTCACAAGACAATGAATATCCAGTTTAGCATAATGGTTAGGAGGATAATGGCTCAGTCCTCTGGGCATGGTATTTGGTGCCTGTCAGACCTGGATATTTGGTTCTGCTGCTGACGGCTACTACTGTATGACTGTGGAAAAATTAAACTGCTCAGCTGCATGAATGTCAGTCTCTCATCTGTACCACTCTGGGCTGCAGAAGGCAGAAGTGACGTCAGACATGTACAGTGTTTAGCACTGGGCCAGGCATCCAATAAGGGAGCAATTACCCACCAGTTATTATGATCTTGGCAAACATGGCCTCTAAATTAGTTTCTTGAGAATGAAAGTGACAGAGGTTTATAACATTTATTTAACTTTCAAAGAGTCCCATATGCCTGTTCTCCAACAAAGCATTAGTTTAAGATCCACTTTCACAAACACTGCATTTTCTTCCTCTGACTTTTAGTCTATTTCCATTTTTTATGTGCCGCATAACATTATTCCAAGCTCCACTTTTTATACACACAAGGATGATAAAAACAAAAAAATAGAGCTTTGACCTCTAGCTAGCATCACGCGTAAGTATATTTCTAAGCAGTTAGCTGATTAATTAGTTGCAGGGCTATTGTAAAGAATGATGTTTTAACCTAATAAGGATTTTATTCTTATGTATTAAATGAACATATATGATGCCAGTGTGAAATTAATATACAGATCTCTCTTCTATCCAGAGAGAAATGAATACATTAAGGGTTAATAACAGCTCAAGCAGGTCATGCCTGACAACTGACTGCTGATACACAAGCATTGCAAGACTTCACTTCATTGCTAAGTACAACTATTATTTCTACAGTACACCTACTATGTCAGCAGAATTAGGAGTGCCACAGATGTAGGAGTGCCACCCAACTGAAGTACTGTTTTACTCTTTGGGGAAGAAGACAAAAGAACAACACCAGACATTACATAATTGCGTACTGCAATCAATGTTAAGCACTAGCTGTGGATGCCATAAGGTGGTGTTTTCCAAAAACGTGAGGCACCCTGGACTCTAAAGAAATCCTTCCAGGGGATTCCAAAATATGAAGCAGACTCAAGAAGAATTCAGTTGATTGAAGAACTTAAGAACTACTCCCTCTGGTTCCTTCTGATAATTGTATTAAAGCCCTTGCATCTAGAAAATGAGTAAGATTTGAATGGACAAATTGAAAGGAATCGGGCATTCTAGGTAGAAGGATCTCTAAGAACGAAGGTAGAAAGGTGGAAATTTAGAAGTAATAAGCCCTCTTCATAAACAACTAGTGAGAATTGGCCAGTAAGGAAATGGAACACAAAACACATGTGGTTATTTATTGTTTCCAACCTGATCTGGTTTTTGAGTAATTTAACCCTGGTGAAATAGTTACCAAATGCTCTAAATCAAGGCATATGGGAAGCCGAAGGTCGATGGTCATGTAACAGGTCTTGTCATTATTCTTCATTTCAGAGTCATTTCAAGTTGTCGTGAGAGGAAATGGCTTCCGACATGCCCGAAACGTGGACAGAGTCCTCTGCAGCTTCAAGATCAACGATTCGGTCACACTCAGTAAGTCCTTGCAGAACTCTCAGGGTTTCTTCGGCCTGCTTGGAGGTCCAGAGCATTCCCCAGCCAGTCTTCCAGCAAGGCACACACAGAAAAGTTGCAGAAAGGTCCTCCCGGGTGGAAAGGCCTCCAGCAGGTACACAGCTAGTCCTATGGTGGGCTCTGCCCTGAGGATGCCTCCCATGGATAGCAGGGCAAGGCTGAGGGTGAACTCCAGCAACCCTATGTCATGGCCACAAGCAGTAGCCCTGTCCTAAGGGAACAGCTGGGAACTTGCTTCATTGTCCCCTGCTGACTGTCCACCAAGTCAGCTCTGTGGGTGCTGACTAGTTAGGGTTTGTGGAGCTTGAGGTTTCTTAAAGTATTGGAGACTCTCTCCAGGATGAGAATGAAAAAGAGATGGTCTAAATGTATTCATCATGAACAAACCTAGAGCCAAACTACCAGGCTTGCATGTGTAGATTCTGGAACTTTCTCTTTACTCTGGATGATTCTGGCTTGGAGCAGCCAAGAAACTCTCATCATGGTGAATACCTTGCATAAAATACAGGAATATGGAAGTAAAACTAAGTGCATTTCATGAGAAAAATGAATTATCATAATGTTGGAACCTCCTGGAGCCATTTGTAGCAGGCGAGTTCCTAACTGAAAGACATGTGTGATTCATGAGGCCATCCAGGCGAGGTGGGGAGGGCTGAGTTGTTTAAGAGGACAGATGCCAGAAGCCCTGGTTATTATTTGCATCTGGCATCCATCGCATGGAGAATTATTGACTCCATGTCTGCATTAATAAACAATGGCCACAGTGGACTGCTTTTTCCACAGCACTCTGCACCAGCCGTCATTTATCTTTTTACCACAGCACTCTTACCCTATAGAGGGAGCAAAGATGACACGAATTCACTCTCACAGCTCTGTCCTCCTGAGAGCCCAAGGAAGGGGGGGGGGGGGTGTCGGATGCTGGTTTTAAAGGACAATTGAGAGATATGCCAGGGGGTTTCTTCCTTGACATCTTAAAATCTACTCAGATATCTAAGAGAGATAAGCAGTGGCTTCCTCACAAACATCTGGAGTTCTTGACCTTGGAATAACATTGAACATTGGAAACATTCAGTTAGTTTTCTTAAAATTTGAAAATGTTCTCCCATCCAAAAGGTGAGCGCAGTTTGAAAACATTTCGAATGTGTCTGCATAGTCTCAGTGGGAAAGTTGGGCCCATGCTCGCGACAGAATTCTTTTTCCCTCCATTTCAACTGTGATGTCACCTCAGTCTGCATTCCCTCTCCTGAACCAAAATCCCAAGTCTAATCAGAAACTCCTGAGGACTCACACAGATGGGAATGAGGCAGGGAAACAGCCAACGCCACAGGCAGTTGCTAGAAGGATTCCGCGAGGCCCTGTACATGCAGATGGGCTGTGGATTTGTAGAGTAATGTCTTAAAGGCCTGTTTTCAAAATTTTCTCTGAAACTTTCCTTCTTAGGAAACCAGCTCATCCCCTTTCCCCTGCCTCTCTTCCTGTTCTAATGTGTGCTTGCCAACACACGTGCGGCATCTCCACCTCACCGATACATGCTATGGGGTAGAGAGTCCAACTATGCAAACTTAACTGTGCTTCCGGTACAGTTGTCCATAGATAAGAGGCACTGAATTCATCCCGCTGTGTGCTGCACCCAACAACCCTCAATGCTAATGACAGCTATCAAAATATTCTAACATACTAGAGCTTGAGGACAACGCTTAGTCTGCATTTGTTAATTCACTTATTCAGTTTCTGTTCAATAAATCATGTGGCTAAAAATCCAAGAAATTTATAAATAAATTTTAAAAATTAGTACATTTAGTTCTATTTTTCTATCAGCCTGATGGATAGATCAATCTCTGTTGATGCCTCCCTGCAAGATAAAACATATTTAGATTCTATTGTAATAGCCAGTTTTCATTCCCAACTGTATCTTAAGTCCTAAGATGCTGTCTGTTATCATTTTTGTTTTTTTCTCAAGATTTTTCTTAATACTGTATTGCATTATATTTTGTATATATATATATGCTGTTATTAATCAGAAAAAGACTAAGTGGCTGCCTTGGCAAGTACAGGGACCAGGGTTTGATCCCAGTCCCTCATGCTGTGCCAGCCCTGCCCCTGGGGCATGCTGAGCCGGCATCCAAGTCCAGGATTGCTGGTGCACACCTATAACCCAGAACTGGGGAGGCTGAAAACAGGAGGATTACTGTGAGTCCAAACTTCGTAGTGAGAACCTGTACCAAATACATAAAATGACAATTTTTTTTTAAAAAAGACAAAGCCTGAGTCTCTAATAATGATGCTAAGGCTGTTAAGGCTGTAGCTACTTCAAACATGATATGGGTCTGAGTCTCCACAAGTCATACAGTGTTAAGTTATATGAAGAAAAATCATGTAAAGGAACAACTTGGAAAATTGTATTTTGTGGGCCATCCAAATAGCTCAGCAGATTAAAGCACCTGCAAGCAGGTACAGAGTCTGGAGGTTTCATCCCCGGGCCTACAGGACTGGCCCTGCCCCCAGGGCGCACTGAGCCAGCAATTGAGACTGGGCATGGTGACGCACGTCTGTAATCCCAGCACTTGGCAAGCTGTAAAGAGGCGGATCACTACAAGTCTGATCTAGTAGTGAGACCCTGAACACCCTGTAGACCCTACCCTAAAATACAAAAAAAGAAAAGAAAAGAAAAAATTGTATTTGTAGGGCCATACTAATACGATTTTTCTAAGCCTTTTAGTAGGCTTATCAATAAAATTACAGCTATAAAGGGATATATATATATATATATATTCCCTTTTTAAATAACTATAAGAAGTTTTACAGATTTATCATGCTAAGGTACAAATGAAGCATCACTATATTTGTGTTAAAAATTGAAATTGGCTGGGTCTGATGGTACGTGCCTGTAAGGTCAGCACTCTGAGAGGCTAAGGCAGGAGGATCCCATGTTCAAACCTGGATATCTTGGTGACTAATTAAGATCTGTCTCAAATATAAAAAATAAAAGGGCTGAGGGTGTAGCTCAGTGTAAAGGCCTTGGGTTCAATCCCCAGTCCTCGTTGAGGAGGGGGAGAATAAAAATTATTTAGAAGGATTCTGATGCGAAATATAACTGGAAAACAGAAACCACATGTTTGTATCTACTCTTCTCCCACTTTTCTGGCCTTGATTTTAAAATAAAATCAACACATAAACCATTTAGAAACTATAATTTCTGGCTTATGATCAATATAACAAATTCAGAAATTCTGTATAAAATATGATTTTAAAAACCATAACATGTGACCCATCTAGAGGGAAAGAAGGGGAAAACCCCCCAGTGCAAAAGAATGGAAACCCAGCAGTAGGTCAAGCCATGGAGCTCCAGGCCAGGGAGTCTGCAGGCTCAAAGCCTCGCATTGATGCAGATGTGGGAGCCCTGGTCTCTGGTCATGGAAGGCACTGGGACTGCAAGAGCAGACATCCCTGCAGAAAGCACATTCTGGAGGGTTACAGCACATGTTAAATGCAGCAAGGAAACAAAGTCCATGGGTGTAATGATGTGATGCTTCCCATGTGATGCAGAAGCACCAAGTCAAGAATGCACCCCCCAAATGTGTCTGTGGCCACCCTGAGCCTATGACCCTGCAGAGGCCACAGGTCTCCATCTACCCAGTGGATGCCTTCCACACAACCCAAGCCCATAGCACATGTAGCCAACAACCCCACTGGAAGATAAGCTCATCATGCAAGTGACAGGTCACACAAAGGTGAATGAAATAAACAGCAAGACGATCAAGGGGAAGAGGCCGGTGAGATAGCTTAGCAGACTAAGGGCCTGCTTAGGCAAATGCTGGGACTGGGGTTCAATCCCTGGCACCACATGCCACACCAGCCCTGCCCCCACCCAGCACACTGAGCCAGCAACCGAGCATGGGCGTGGTAGTGCATACGTGTAATCCCAGCAGTGGAGAGGCTGAAAACACAGGAGGATCACTGGGAGTTGGAGCTGTGTAGTGAGACCCTGTACCAAATACATGAAAAGGGTTAGGGGGAGTAGAATCCAATTAGAGAAACAATGTAAAATAAATACTTTAAAAATGTGTAAAGACATCAAACAGACTCTAGAGGAAGAACAGAACACTCAGCAATTACAGATTACAGGCAGTGCACTCACTGAAGTACAACCTGCTTTTTTGTTTTATTTTGCATTATCTTGTTTTATGTTGTTGTTTTGTGAGGCAGCCTCCCTGTTTTAAAGGACAAATTACTCAAACCTGATTCATGTTTCCACACATCCTTTTCCAGAGGAAAAAAAAAAGAAAGGTTATTTAATTCATTATGTAATAATAATATAATCTTGATTTTTTAAAAAAAATGAACAGTGGGGCCAGGAGATGGCTCAGTGGAACAAGCGCTTCCCTGGCAAGCGCAAGGGCCTGAGTTCAATCCCCAGTTCAACAAAAAAAAAAAAAAGAAAGAAAAAAAAATGAACAGAGAACCAGAAGTAGAAAACAGTTGACATTAAGTTTGCTGATGACAAACATCTAAATAAAATATAGCAAACAAAATTCAGCAGTGCATTTAAAAGGAACCAAGATAACTAAGACAATTTTGAATGATGGGTAGAGGTTTGCTCCTCACCTACCAGAGCTTATTGGTGCCAAGAAGATATATTAAAATTCATTTTGTAGTTCAAAATCTTAAATAGTTTTAGGAAATAAAGACTAGGGTAAGACTTCCTTAACTAATAGACCTATTCCTTGGTGTTTGGGCTCAAAACACTATGGGATTCTAATGCGTCACTGTCTGGATGTGCTCACCATAGAATTAGCAAGACAACATCAGGATCACCCATTTCACCAGCTTATGGAATACTGATCTGAAAGTTCTAGCAACACTATCTAAAAGAACTTTCAGGTGATGGAAACGTTCTAAAGTGTCAGTGAAGGTGGTAGCCACAAGTCACAGGGACTGCTGTGCACTGAAAGCGTGGCTAG